AAATGGAGAAAATGTCCTGTTTTTTCCACTATGTGAATAAATGTGAATTACTCTCCTGGGCAATGAGGTACTAAAATAACAGAAAGTACTAGAACTTTCTGTTATTTTACACATTAGTTAATTGTGCCGACAGATTTCTTTCATTTACTGAAGCAGAATTTCTTCATCTTTGAGTAAAAATGAAAAAAGAAGAAATTCCACTTTAAGCACATTAAATGGGGTTAAATGTATTTAGTCTGGGGTTGTATGTGGCCCACGATACAAAATGAGTTTGACATCCCTGGTATAGATTTTCAGGTCAGCAGTTTAACGGAAAATAACGTTAAGTGTTAGCATGCTACATGTAGTTTTCAATCAGGGGGTTATTGCTTTAGTAAACTGGTTTAATATCCGTCACAGTGGGAAATGATAAACAATATTTTAAAACACCTGAACAAGATTTGTCACTGAGCCACTACCTCCGTCTGAGGGCGCTCCAGCTCCATTTTCCACCTGTTCAGCTAGGCTAGCTAGCTCTTCCCCACCGGCTCTACAAATTCCTGTGGCGGAGGTTCCTGGCGCGGCCGGTAGAGAGGGATGGAAGACAGCCACTGCAGGAAGGACCGAGAAACCTGAGCATAGGAGGGAGAGAGACACACGCACACACATTCACACGGACCCAGGGGCCGCAAAGCCTCGGACAGAAGCAGCCATTACGACTGGGAAGCATGCTGGGAGCTCGCCCGGCTCTTTTCGGATCCACAGGACGCTGCCGACTCAGCCTCGGATAGAAAGCCTGAGCCCGGATACGGTTTGGTTTGGAGCTCCGGACGGAAAGAGACACACGGCCCCCTCCCGTCACTAGGATATACTCCCTCCCTCCCTCTCTCTCTCTCTCATACACACGCACAGGAGGCACAAAAAGCAGCAGTCACCGGGTGGAAGGCGATATTTAAGGAGGGACTGGCCGGAGGAAACGCACCGAGCGATGCGACCGTGTGGCCCCGCACCCACACGTACACTGACGGCTGTCATGGATAGATAGCGTTTATGTAACCTTCATTTAAGTAGATTTTCACAGATAGACGCTCACTGAGGCTTTTTGTTGTCCTTTATATTCTCTCAAGTGTCCCTGAGGATTATCTAACCGCGCTCCAGAAGTGAGCTGCGGGGCTTTTGGTGTGCGCCAATGCATCATATTCACTAGTTTCACGCACCGTGGTGTTTGTATTGGACACCGGAGGAGGGAGAAGGAAGCACAGGGAGCCGGAGCTGGGGTCCGGACGGGCAGCAGAAGCAGCAGCAACACCAGCGGAACGGGTTACTGCGGTAGTCCGCAGGCCGACCCCTCTCTTCTTCACAAGCCGGCTTGTGAGCCACCATGGCCGGTTTCGTACCGGGTCTGCTGCCTTCAAACCACTCACAGGAGAAGGAGTTCGCCCAGGCGTATGAAGATGTGCTGGAGAGATATAAAGGTAAATGTACAGAGGTCTTCAGCAGGATGCAAGAGGATAATATGAACAAAAAGCTCTCCCACGGGGAATAGTTAAGGCGTTTGTTTGTATTGTCAGGGAATGAAAAGGAAAATGATGAAAGAAACTCCGAGATTATGTCTGAAAGTGTAAGTGGGTTTTTAGGCACGCAGCCAGCACCACTCTGCCAATTTCATAATCTGTATTTTTTCCTTGTATTTTGGATAAGCAAAGCAGGACTTCTAGCCTTGCCACATTGTTGGCCTCCACAGTGCATGCCCTGACTCCCTCCTAATCACTTGTGTGCTTTTGAGACACCAGAGGAAGCAGTTTTATGAAGTTCTCCCAGCCCACTCCTGTAAGGAGTTTTCCCCACATGGCCTCGGGTTTCGCCTTGTTTGCTGTTTAGCCTGTAAATATCAAAGCTGCTGCTGTGCAGGGCACTGGGATGGTTTGAGTTTGCTGTGATGTGGCTTTAAAACACTTTAAGGTGAAGAAAACAATCATTATATTTATTTTTCTGTGTGTGTATGTGTGTCTGCCCTGCAGCAGAGGTCTTACAACCAGGGCTGAGACTTGCTATTTTATAATACCGGTGACAGGGGCGCTTTAAAAATGAATGCCTCTGCTGAACTTGACTGTTGGGAGGAGGTGT